CCAGGAGAGGACCCACCAGAAGCACTATCTTCCCTTCCTTGGCACAGCTGATGGACAGCAAGGGCATCCTAGCCACCTCCCACCCTGCCAACCACCACCCACTCCTGCTGGGGCTGGCGGCTGCCAATCAGTCCCCTGGGGCCATAAAGTCCAATGGGCAGCGCACGGGGGAAAGGCATCTTGGGGAAGCAGCAGAGTATTGTGATCAAGGAAGGGGACTCAGCAAGCATGGGGTGCAAAGTCTGCCTCTGCCTCACTTGGCAGACTATGGACTTGGGCATGTTGCCCCCTCTCTGAACCTCCACTTTCTCCAGTAGAAGGGGATGACAGGAGCACCTTCCTCTGGGTGCAGGGAAGACTAACGGTCTCACAGTGACAGTCCTTATCACAGAGCCATTCCCCAGACAGATGCTGGGCAAGTGACTGTACTGTGGAGGTGGCTGTTCACAGTGAAGTGCATTTCCTACAAAGACTCTGCAGAGCCTTCAGGGGCTCACCTGTGACCCTGCTGGAGAATACATCAGGAAGGGCAGCCTGGGCCAGAAACGAGGGAGCCCTAAGTTCACCTGCGATCTCTGCCACTAACTGCCTGTGGAATTCTAAGCAAGTCCTGTCGCCTCCCTGAGCCTGTTTCCCATCTGTGAAACAAGAGCTGGACAGGATCTTTAAAGTTCTTCCCTTTGTGATATTCTGTGCTCTTTGTGTCATGGTGTTGGGTGACTTTGCTCCCATGTAGACCTCATGAATGGCACCCAAATGAGGCCCCACTCATTCTAAGTGTGGCCCTTGCTCCTGCCCAAGGCCTGGATCTCTATGAGGTGGTCCCCAGAGAACAGCAGGGGCGAGATTGCTCTGTTAGAGTCCTTTGGAATGGACACAATGCCTTCTGCCCTTCCCAGCCCCTGGAGGCCAAGCCAGGCTGCCCAGGAAGTGTCAGGAAGGGATTCAGATTGCAAAGATACACGGTGACAGAGACTCTCTGCCAGCCCAAGGAATCCAGGCCAAGAATAGATAATGCATACACCAAGTAGGCACCATAACTGCGAGGGGTCTGAGAGCTAACTGCTCCAGGTACATCCGTGCCCTTGGCTGCCTCCAAATCCCTTAGCCAAAAGCCTCCTGGCACAATCATCAACTAAAAGAACCCCACTCAAGTCCCCTCACTTGCCTAATCCCCAACCCCCTGCCCTCCAGGTTGTGTACTCTCACTAAACACAGGTAACTACTGTCCAGATTCCATCAGCTCCAGGGCTTCCGGCAACACCCAGAGGACTGCATCCCACCTGCACAGAACTTCCCTCCCTACATGGATCCAGAGAAGAAGGAAGCTGTCTGCCAGGTGCCCCACACTCCCAGCTCTGGGGCAGGGTGGTTTGCAGAAAGGAATATGCACTCTGTGGCTGGGATGCCAGTGTGCCAACTTGGATGAGTTCTCTTTAACATCTTTGAATCTCAGTTTGATCATCTGTAAGCTGGAATCAACAATACTGGCCTTGCAAGATTGTCCTGGGGGTTAAGCAAAGCAGCCGCTGTGCACTAGGAGCTCAGGAAAGGGCAATCAAGTTGGGGGGGGAAGCGGCGTCACCCACTTTCCTGAAAAATACACAGAAACACATGAACACTTTGGGAAAGAAGAAATTTAAGATGGACCCCAGTTGGGGGTGGTGGTGCATTTCATATAATCCCAGCAATACAGAAGGCTAAGGCAGGAGGCCAGCCTCAGCAATTTAGCAAGTCCCTGTCTCAAAATAAAAATGGCTAGGGATGGAGTTTCAATCCCCAGTACCATAAATAAATAAATACCCCAAATCAGAGATTCTTTTAGCAATTGATTCAAAATGGATTAGCTTATGTTTGGATGAAAGAAGAGGAGTCTTGTTCTCCTCTAAGAATTTTGCATTCAATTCAGACAGAGGACAAATCCACAGAGAACTCTGATTTTTGTCTTAAGAACCCTGGAGGGAAATTCAGACTCGGGCTGACTCAAGTTTTCAGGTCTATCTGAAGCTAATCACTCCACTGGCCAGACCGGATTCCGTTGGTTCGCAAGCCCAGCTACACATTAGCATCACTTGGGAGCCTCCCTGAATTCTGGGTACCAAGCTTCTCTCTTGACCAGTTTCATCAGAAACTCTGCGGGGTGGAGCCCAGGTATCAAGAGTTCCCTGGGCGATTCTAAGGAACCGAAGATATCTGAGGCCCCTCCCAGTTATCCCTGAGGTGTACAACCATGCATGATTCAACACAGACGCTTAGCATATGCCTGCTGAATAAAGGGCTGAAGATTATGACTCACCTTCTTTTTTGCTTTTTCCATGTTCATAATTAATGAGGTAAAACAGCAAAAGGGAAAGGTGAATCCTAATAAGAATCATTGAGTAGCACTGTCCAACAGAAATTTCTGTGATTATGGGAAGATGCTATAATCTGTACAGCTCACTGCAGCGGTCATGAGCCCAATATGGCTACTGAGTTGTGTTTTTTTTTGTTTTGGGGGGTTTTCTTTTTTGTTTTTTTAGCGAGGTGAGGGTACTGGGGATTGAACTCAGAGGCATTCAACCACTGAGCCACATCCCCAGCCCTATTTTGTATTTTATTTAGAGACAGGGTCTCACTGAGTTGCTGAGCACCTCACTTTTGCTGAGGCTGGCTTTGAACTCGCGATCCTCCTGCCTCAGCCTCCTGAACCGTTGGTATTACAGGTGTGCGCCACCAGGCCAGGTGGCTACTGAGTTCTTGAAATGTGATTAGTGATTGAGGAACTCTGATTTTAATTTTATTTAAGGTTGAATTTAAATTTAAATAGCCACATATGACTTCTGGCTACCATACTGGACCGTGAGCATTTGGAGTGTGTGCCCTTTACCTACACAGCTTGGCCCGTGCTCCCCACACCCCTCCTTTACTAACAGCCCTCTGCCTCCATTACCAGAAATCATGGCCAGGCAGCTAAGGAAGTTGCTCCTGGTCCTCCAGCCACAGAGTGGGCCCAAGACCCAAGCTAAGTCCACCAGACTGTCCTCTCCAGGAATTTGACTCTAGCTTCAGTGCCACAAGAATAGAAGATGAGTCAGAGAAGACTGATATCAGTGTTGATGCCCTAAGACATTGTGTGTTAGTTTCTAGAACATTAGTCTAGAGCATGGTGATCACAGTAGTGATACAGGATATGAGCTAAGAATCATTATCATCATCTTCATCATCATCAAAGTCCCTGGTACCCAGCAGCTCTGATACACCAGCTCCTGGAACTAGGAACACAATTTGCCTAGCTTCTTTTCAACTGTAAAATGGGAATCATGCTAAACTTCTTCCTGAATTTTTGTAAAGACAGCAAAAGAGATGATGGTCATAAATCCTTTGAGCCGAATAAGGAGTTACTCAAGTGTCTGTTATAGGTATTCCCAGGACATAAGGGTTAGGGAGTCAAGGGAGGGTTTGACAAAGGACTCAGGACCTGGGTCCAGTTCACAAGCTGTGCAACATCCAGTAAGACACTTGTCCTCTCTGGGCTTGTGACTGAATTGAGTTAGACACATCCACTTCCAGTTTCACAATTTCTAATTTATTTGCTGACCCCTTTGCCTAACACATATTCCCTCCTACCTCTATGCACAAATGTCAGAAAATTCTCTAGACTAATTATGACAGTCTTTTGCCCAAATTATTTCTTCTTGCCCTGGCTTCCTAACTCACGGGAAAGTGCCCTGGGTGTGCACTCTCATAGCTTTCTGTACTAACTCTCTGGCAGAGGACAAAGGCATCACTTCTACCTCCTAGTGGGCCAAAAGCAAAGACCATATCCTCCTGGCTTACTATTGTATCCTCAGTGCCTGTTACAGAGCCAGACACATAGAAGGTGCTCCAGAGGTATTTACTGTTTGAATGTTTGAATGAATACCCCAAGTCGATGTATTATTTATTCTGAATATTTCAGATCTATTTCAAGAAATCCACAGTACTAATTATCTAATGCTGCATTAGATTATTTACCCCAAAATCAGATACATTACCCCCAAAACTTACCAGCTTAAAACAGCAATGATGACTTATATCTCAATTTCAGACAGAGCATGGTGAGGTTGGCCTCTTTCTGCTCCATGTCTGGAACCTCAGTCACAGAACTCAAAGGCTGGAGCTGGGATCCACTGAAGTCTCAGTCTACCACCTACCTGGAGATTGATTCTGGTTATGGGCTGAGAGTCCAGTGGGTAGTGTCAGCTAGGATACTGACGTGGCCTCTCCATGCAGGGGGGCTTCCCCACAACATGGTGGGGCTGGTGTCTTCCAGGAAAGTGTGGATGCTGACTCAGTGACCTAGCCTCCAGAGTCACAGAGCATCCTTCCTACCACATTCTACTCATTAGACTCCCTATATTCAGCCCACATTCAAGGAGAGGGGAGCCAGGCTCCATCTTTTGAGAGAAGCATAAGAACTTATAAACATGCTCTAAAACCACCACAAGCACTTGGCTAACACAAAAGGCACAGTATGGGGTGGAAACTGAGCCTCTGAAGAAGGAAGGCTTCCATTCAAATTCTAGCTCTGCCACTTGTTATCTGGGTGAGTTTGGGAAAGTTACTCTCTAAGACTTAGTTTTCCTATTTGTACAGTAAGAAGGTGGCAGGCGCTCTTTAGTGACAGAGACATGCTTGAAGTCTTGACTTCTTGACCCTCTTAAGAGAATCCAGGCTTAATTAACTTTCTTGGAGTTACAGAACCTTTCCCATGACTGCATACCTTTGGTTTCTGATCTTGGAAGCATCAAGAGGAGCTCAGGGGACCCAGAATGTTCTGATATTGGGCAGAACTTTTAAGTAGCAGATGGGGAACCACTGAGGGTCTGAGGAGTCTCTTAGACTCCCTGTCATACCACCAGTGTGGAAATCTCCGCATATCAAGAAATGCAACAATGTGGATCTAAGGAATACAACTCAGCCTGATGGAGCTTAATGTATTAGTCAGTTTCCAGTTACTATAACAAAATGGCTGAGGCAAGTAACATAAAAAGAAAAGGTTTATTTTGGCTCACCATTTTGGAGGTTCCAATCCAAAATGGGTAGTGCATAATTTTGGGCCTCTGGCTAGGGTGGCATATTATAAGGGCATGGCACAGTAGAATCTTTATGATCACCAGTCAGGAAGCAGAAAGAGAAAGAGAAAAAAAAAAGTCTCAAAATCCCTTACACAAGGCCCCACCTCCCAAAGATTCCTCCCTCTCAGAATAACACCTTGTGGACCAAAACCTTAACCCGTGAACCTTGAGAAGACATTCAACATCCAGTCTATAGCATTCAGGAATCTGCATTTCCCCCAGAAGGCTGTTATTCTTACTAAATACCAGTAGGGGGAGAGGCTGTGGACTTTAGCAAAGTTCTTAGCTTGAGCTCAGAGAGTTACTTCTCGGTGGGATGGGGGAGGAGGAGGGTGCATTGTGCCTCCAAAGTCCAAGAGCCAAGCACAACAATCAGCTGTATTTTCACCGTTTTCTGAACCGACTGGCTCTCCCCAGCCAGGACTCCCACTTCTATGTGGTGGTCCCACAACCCTAGGGAGAAGCATCCATCCTGCCATGACCGCGGGACATGGGCATCCAAAGTTCAGTCCAGTGAGACTGACTAGTCACGTCCCTGGGCGTCCCACTCCCCCCGGGGCAGGAACCAGGTGAAACAGGATGACTTTTCACCCTTTCATTTCCTCTACTAGATGTCCCCCTTTAAGGAGCAGACGCGCCAGGAGGGACTCTTGAATTGGTGATCACCTCTGCCAATATGTGGAAGCTGAGGCCCAGAGAAGAAGTGATCTATTGAATGTCCCTGAGCAAAACAAGCGCTGACCCCGGGCCTCCCAGACCAGTGCTCTCGCTGCCCCACGCTGAGGTCCCCGACGTGGTACCCACTTTAGGAAATTCCCGACCGCAGGAATTCCTTTGGCGCCAGGAATCTTCCTAGAGTTTGCGCTCTGTTCGGTCCATTGTAAACTTCCTCCGCAACACCTCACGGTCTTTGCTGCGCCCTAAAAGAAAGGTGAGAAGGGAGCGAACGCCCACCGCGCGGTTGAGAGAACTAGGAGCAGAGGGACGTCTGCGGGAGGGGAGGACCCGGCGGGAATGCGCTGGCCCTTTAAGGGGGGGACGGAGCGCATGCGCGGCGCGGCCGGAGTCGAACCGGGTGGGCGGCGGGAGGGCAAGGGACCCGGCGGGCAGCAGCCGGGCCGCAGCCGGGCCGCAGCCGGGCCTTGGCGCGGCGGGGTTGGCAGCGGCGACCCCAGCCTTGCCGAGCCGCCATCTGCCCGTGGGCTCGGGGTCAGCAGGCTGCTCCCCGGGGGCCAGCGCCGCCCGCGCCCGCCCGGGCTTTGTCACTCGCCTCCAGCTACATCCGCCGGCCGTGGCTGCGCGAGCCCGAGGCTTGCCCTCCCCGCCCCGCGGTCCTCCTTCCATCCCGCAGCCGGGCAGCGGGAGCCCGAGCCGACAGCCACGGAGCATCCTCCGCCCGCCCCGGCCGCGCCACCGCCCATGCTGCAGCCGGCCTGGGGCAGCGACCCCGCGGCCGGAGCCCGCCGCTCGGTGACCGCGGACTGGCCCCTGTGCGCCGCCCGAGCCGGTCCCTCTGAGCTCCGGGCCCTGGCGCGGGAACCGCGCCCCGCGATGGCTTGGCTGGCGCCGTCCGCCCGCTGAGACGCGCCCGGCTGGGGACCGGCTGGGACCGGCGGGGCCTCGCGCTCCGGGTCTTGGACACCCACCCGCGCGCGCCTTGCCCCCTCTACGGGCTCGGCTCCCGCAGGCGAGGAGGCGGGGGCGCAGACAAAGCCCACTTTGTGCGGGGAGTTGGCCGCGGGCGTGGAATGTGCGCGTCGCCGCGCGCCCCCTCCCCGCGCCCCGCCAGCTGCGAGTCTCGGCTCCCGGACTTGTCGCGTGCGAGAAATCGCTCCCCCGCGTCGCCCTCCCTCCCGGAGGTCCCCACTCGGAGCTCACCAGGCTCCCCGTGGCCGCGGTCCCTCCACCCCCAGGGGCGCGCACAGGTGTGAGCGAGCGAGGCTTTGTAGAGGGATTTTTGTTCACTTCGAAACTGGAACCCGGACGCCCGGGCGGCGTGGGCACTGTGCCTTTGACCCTCCCTTTCCGCGGCCGCAGATCCGAGTTGTCTGGCCTCAGTTTCCCTCCGACTCCCCCACCCCCGGCTGCCCGTCATTGTTCTCGCTGCCCAATGAGGGTGCTTTGTGAAGGCTGCGGGATTGGGGTGTAGTCTCTTTATCCCGGTTTTCAAACAAAACAAGGCCCTTAAGGCTGACCCAGGACAACCCACCCCTGGGCCCCCACTTCAGGTTGATGCACTGATTTTTTTTTCTTACCGAGTAGTATTTCATTGTACAAGAGCCACGCCCTGGTTTCTTAAAGGCGCCCTACCCTCTGTTTGGCCATGTGTTATTTCTGCAGCTAGTGTGTGGGAGGCCTCTTGTGAACCACCTATTTTTCCCGCCTCCTGATACCTCCTCCCACCCGCGCCGAGGATTTAGGAATGCCAGGAGGGAAGAAGGTGATTGGGGGTGGCAGCAGCGGTGCTGCCCCAACTGCTGCTGCCACTGTCGCCGCCCCTACTGGGGTCAGGCGTTTGGAGACCAGCGAAGGGGCCTCTGCCCAGAGAGATGATGAGCCAGAAGAGGAAGGGGAAGAGGACCTGCGAGATGGAGGCGTCCCTTTCTTCGTCAACCGGGGTGGGCTGCCTGTGGACGAAGCCACCTGGGAAAGGATGTGGAAGCATGTAGCCAAGATCCACCCTGATGGAGAGAAAGTGGCGCAGCGGATCCGTGGAGCAACGGACCTGCCCAAGGTGAGGCATGAGGCATGGGGCATGGGATGCGGGTGGAAGGGATGGGCACAGGATGAGCTAGGGCAGTGACCTGGGGCTGAGAGCAAAGCCACACTCTTCCTCTGATGGCTAGGGCAGCAGCCACAGGTGTGGTAAGAGTTAAAAACTAGACAGGTCATACTTGTCCAGAACTTTCTCTCCACTGCTTTTGGGATCTTTCTATGAGGGAGGTTTTCCTTCATCACTTTTGGGGCAGGATTTAGATAACTAACAAGCAAACTAATGTGGCTTGACATCTGTTTGGCTAATGATACTTGCTAAGCCAGAGAACTTGGAGCAGACAGATAATAAAGGACTAAGGAAATACAGGACTTCATATGCTGAGGAACTATTTTCAGGTGTTACCTCACTGAATTCTCCAACAGCCTTGCAAAGTAAGTGCACTTTGGGTCCCCATTTTACAGATAAGGAAGATCAAAGCACAAGTAGCAAGTCAAGCCAAGCCAGTAAGTGTCAGAGTGGGGACTGAGTGCCAGGGGTTTGGAATCCAGTGTCTCTGCTCTGTTGAACACTAGGTTCAGGGAAATTAAGAATAAAGGAGGAAAAAATATGGAGAAGAGTAAAATTAAGTAATTTTTGTGTTGGCTGGAACTCCTCTATAACAGCAATACTTCACTTGTTTTGCCAAGGAAGGCAGAGGCTGTATCTTATTCATCTTTGTCCTCCCAAGGTCTCCTGTGTGCCTGGCACAGAACAGGCACTGATGTGTGTCTGCTGAATGAAAGGGTATTTGAGAGTTTCTGCCCTGTACAGTGCTATAGGAAATTCATGCCTGATATATTTTTTTAAACGTTATCAGTAAGTCAAAGGAAGCAGTGTCCCCAGTACAGAACCCTTTGGGCAGAGGTCAGAGCACAATGCCTAATCCTGCCTGCTCAGGTGAGAAGGGTGGGGGCTAGGGAGATTGGAATTAGAGAGGCTTATGCATGGGGAAAAGTGGCCTGTTTTTACCAAGTTATTGGTAGAGCCATTTAAAAATGCCTGGGAAGGGGTTGGGGTGGTAGCTCAGTGATTGAGGGCTTGCCTTGCATGCATGAGGCACTAGGTCCAATCCTTAGCACCACAAAAAATAATAATAATAATAAATAAATACATGCCTGGGAAAACAAGTCAGAGATTGAGGGCTGAGCTATTGTCTAATGTTTCCAGGAGAGAAAAACTAGGTTGATTTTGAATGGCTGCATCATGATCCTCTGTACTGACTTATAATTTATTTAGTTAATGTGTGGTTGGACATTGTTTCCAGGATTTTATTCTTAAAATGAACACTGTGTTGAACATTCTAAAACAAATATGGGATCCATCTATGATTTTTTTTCCTTTGGGATAAATTTGAGCACTTTCCTACCATAAGTGAGGCCCTGGGTTTGATCCCCAGTACCACAAACACACACACACACACACACACACACACACACACACAGTCAAAGGGTATGTACATTGGTTTGGATCACCTGCCTGTCTATATGACCTCAAGAAGGTCCCTTTAACCTATTTAAGCCACAGCTTTCTCATCTGTAAAACGGGGTTGATTGTGGGGAAGAGTGAATGAGTCACCAGGTGTTCAAGCATTTGACAAACTGGAAAATACCAAACCAATACTGGTTGTGGGTGCTCTTACCTGTTCTCCCTTTCTTCACGAGGAGGGGAGTAGATGTTACTCAGAGCATCAGTGCCAATGAAACCAGAGTGGCACACTTGTCCCACATGAGCAGGATGGTGCTGAGCAGGCAGCTCTCCCACCATTGTCCTATGTCTAAATAGGGATGCAGGAGAGTGTGAATGGCTTCCTGTAGGGCTGTCACCACTTCTAGGGACTAAAAAAACACCGGTGAGCTCACTAGGAACTGCTCAGTGATAGCATTTTGTCATCTTCAATTCTGATGTACAGGAAAGGGATGGGTAAGGGAAAGAAGCTACCCGGGAGGAAGGAGTTGAGGTGGCCAGGACTGTGATGGGGTGGGAGGAATTTTATTAAAGATTTGGAAAAAATTTGAAAGTTCTCCTCCTTGAGCGGTGGGAAAGGTGTCTCAGAGAAGTCACCTGTGTCTGCAGGAAGTTCCTCCTCTACCTTGGCCCCGAGTCCAAGGGAGGCCTTGGAGAAGGGCAGCTGTGGTGGGTGTCATACCCTGAGCCTCAGAGAGCATTGTCCCCAGGGCACACCTTCCCTAGCAGCCGTGATGTTGGAGCTGGCATGGGGCATTTCTACGAAGTCACTGTGGTGGGTCCAGGAAGTGTTGTCACAACTACACTATGTTTTGAAAGCCCACCTGAGCCAAAAGTTAAAATGGGGAGATGCTCACAGAACAAAACACAGGTTTGGCATCCCTTCAGAAAACGAGACAAATGAGGCTTCAGTCTCACATGGCAGCAGGGGCTGGGGAGGGGTTCCCTCCCCCAGCTTGCCACAGCCCCCTCCCCCTGCTAGCATGCCCTCCAGTGTCTGTTACCTGCCCAGCCCAGGTAGGCAGCTGTGTCTGGGCCCCTGCCGGGTAGTGTGATTAAAGGAGCGCCTCTGGAGTGAGCCCCCATGTTCAAATCTTGTTCTTCTGCATGTACTTATGGGAGGAAGGTGTGCAACCCCCTTGCCCTCGGTTTCCTCAGTTGTGAAATGGGCTCGATGGGCAAGGCCCACTTCAGAGGATGTTGGGCAGGATGAATGGTGGAAAGAACGGAAGGCCTCATTAGAGAAGCATCCAGCAGGTGCTCCAAAATGCACAGAGCGGGCATGCAGCACCCCAGACACACACACGGGGCTTTGGAGAAAGAGCTTCTGCCAGGATGGTGTCAGTAGGGCCAAGAGCAACAGTATCTAGAAGGATCCCAAAGCCAGCAGTAGTTGATGCTCCTTGATGACAATCTCCCCTTGCCATTTCAAGCTGTCACCACCTTTACAAGCCTGGTGGCTGCTTATGACACCCAGTTGCTGAGGGTCTAACCGTGACTCTGGCCATTGAGCACCTGCAGAGTGGGAATCTGGACATCTCATGGGCATGCCTGGGTAGGAGTGCTGGTGGACAGACATTGAGCTTTGCTACATGCCAGGCCCTGTTCTTCTTCTTCTTCTTTTTTTTTTTTGTGTGTGTGTGTGGATTGAACCAGGGCCTTATGCATGCAAGGCAAGCACTCTACCAACTGAGCTAAATCTCCAGGTGTCCATATGCAGCAACCCATTTGCACTGCAGATGGGTTCTATAAAGGTTCCTATCTTAAAACGGGGCTTTGAGACACAGAAGTTGAGGAGCATCACTGAAGTCACGGAGCTGGGCTTCAATAGCATGTCTAGTTCTGGAGTGTGCTCTGTCATCTCCTGCCATCAGCGCTCCCCTCCTTCCCGAGGCCGCCTCATTGTGCTGGGCTGAGGGGCTGCACCAGTGCTAATGTCCTGTGGGACTCAGGCCTTCAGGGACTCCTGGGGCCAGGGGCACCCTTGCCTGGGATCATGGGGAGGAGGAGCTGCCAGGGAGATCTGGGTAGCAGATATCACCAGCCCGCCCTGTGCCCCTTGACCCCACCCCTCAACAGGGAGGAAGTTTTGCTGCCTCCTGTTTTGGAGGTGGGGGTTGAAGGTCAAATCCAGGAGACCAGTCCCCAAGTGGCCTGTTCACCTGGATGTGCAGAGTTCTAACCAGCAAGTGATCGGGTCTGTGTTTGTCATGGACACTGAGGAAGAAGGTAGAGCGCACTGGGGCAGCGTGAGTCAGGGAGCTGGCCAGACGCTTCCTTCCTCCTTGGCCTGGGTGATGGGGACTCTGAGGCCCTGTTGGGAAGCCCAGTCTCTTGGACTCTCTTCCTTCTTGCAAAGCTG